AGCTGCTGAGTTGCTGATGCAGCGCAGATGTCCGATGATGCCGACGGGGATGGTTTACGTCGGTATTGGTTCTCATTTGAAGCAGCCGATCGATGGCGGCGTCGGAAATTGTGGATAGGCGGTTGATGACGCCTTTGAATAGCTCAGCCCGGCACTTTAGACTCTGCAATTTCTTCGTCTTGAATGTTGTTCCGTCCGAACTGAGCAGCGGTGCAGTTCCTTTGGTGCCGGACTGTAGACTTCATTGGTGGATTGGAAGAAGTTTTTCATACCGTTGCGATCTGCCTATCCTTGGACTTCTTCGGCCTTGCAATCCGTCCGAGCGTTTTGCATCTGCAGCCGTTTCTGCACAAGGTGGCATCTGAAGAAGGCGGTCTTGCTTGTGTCAGTGTTCAGTTGACTAGTGCTTTGTGCAGTCTACTCATATCGCCAGAATGATTGTCGATTTCCTAATCGTTGTCGTTAAACCCATTCTTCCGTTAACGAGGTGTGCGACCGAGGACATCCATGACAATTGTCGCTACTGCATCTCCACGGTGGTGTCGCTGTCTGGGGCTTGCAGTTCTTTCAGCCACGATATCAACTGGTTGCTGAAATCGAAGCGGTGAGCAGACAACTTCAAAGGAGCAGTATTTAATTTACCTGACAGTCGCTTACCTTGTGGTCTCCTACGGGCCGTAGTCGGAGCCTCATTTTGGTGATCCAGCCGGCGGTCGGCGTCCCAGGCCGGCTTGCTCACCGGCATGTCCAGTCGATCGCGCCTCCGGTTGGGAACGTAGTCCAAAAGCTGCCAGCGCCACGATTGGAAACTCATCCAGGTAGACTTTCCTCATGTCAAATGACGAAAGGTTTTGGTCAAGAGCTGACAGTGTTCTGCGCAGTTTCGCCGAAGGGGGAATTCTCTGTCGTTGCAGTCGCCGAGTCCATGAGGACCCAACACTCCCTCCCGGGCAGCTTTGATTTCCCCGACGCGGCCACGAAAGTCACCAAGGAAAATCAGTTCGTCCGCCCTAGGCACAACCGCCAGGAGGGCGTGCAGTCCGTCGTAGAACTTATCCTTCACCTCGTCCACAATGGTTATTGGGAAGCATGGACGCTGAGGACGGTGACCACTTTGGCTCATCTATGAGACTGACATGGAATCAAGGGACGGTCACTGCTGCTTTGTGGCAGACGGGACATTCGTAGGACGATGTCTTTCTGGGTGGCAAAGTAGTCCCCAGCATCGCGTTTCTATGCCTCTGGACGTCCGCTCCAAAACATGTGGCCGGCACCCACCTCGTCTAGCAGACAGTGTTCGGAAGATCGAGTCTCACCGAGGCCAGCGATGTCCACCCTTTGGCATGCTAGTTCTCGACAGACTGACTCTGTCCTCCTTTCCGACTGGTTGCTCCGCGCGTTGTCTCGAAGAGAACAAACACTTTAGACTGCAAAAATGAGCTGAATCACTAGCAACCTGTGGGATGGGGACGTGGGTTGCTGTTTATTTGATTGTTTCGATCGTGCATTGTACATCCTTGAGCGACGGCCGGCGTGCAGATGAGGTGATCCCAACATTTTCTAGCCACTCCCCTACGAGGGGCATGCAGTTCTACTCCTAAATAAGATTGCTTAGATGTCCATATGGCTTCCGAAGTCCATCATGGGTAACGGCTTCGTTTACTTGAAGAACTACCCGAGTTAGCCTGGGCCGCCTAGTGGACTATATGCCACCCTCTTCATAAGTCATTTTTAAACTGTAAGAGAGGGGTGGAATGGGGAAGGATAGGTAGGATTATCGGGTGTGAGGACACACAACACCGAATACTTTCATTTAATTAAGCCCCCTTATCAGGGCACTTAGCTGGCTTTGGTTACTAGACGAAGTGCAGTTTCGAGGAACAACAAATGGGAGTTGGTTGCATGGATAGGGCCGTGCGGTGCAGCCACCACCAGCACGAGGCGCGTGACGCGACCTATTGCATCCTGCTGGGCGCATCCCCCAACTAGACTCACCCACATCCCCAATTCGTCTCCCCTGTTCAGGGCTGTTAAAAATAGATGGTTGATCCGAATCTGTGACTTTCCTACTCTTAAAGTTTATTACAGCGTACTAGGCAGTTCAATGAAACGAGAATTATCTGGAAGTGAACTGCATTCGCACGGCCAGTGAGTGGTTTAGCATGAAGATATATCTGACTGCGTTCTTGATAAAAGTTGCCAGCGGTCGCTGCTGTCTCAACTGGACATTGCTCATACAATCCAATAGATTGAAAGGCTTTCATTGAACAGCTTATAGAACATCTAGTTTCATTCATTGTTGTGTGCTGGTGTGACCTCGAAAGATCTAGTTTCACATTGCGGAGACAGCTGGCAAGTATGTGCACTTCTTGTTGGTCTGGAACAACTAGGGGTCTACCTGCCGGCAACACCTATTTGCCCTAGAGACCAACATTTTATTTTTTTGTACACATTTTTTCTCAACAATTATTATTCAAACCTGATGGTGAGTTTCATTTCTTGTTAAAAATTACTGCTGAAGAATACACATCAGTAGAAAGGACAATCTGCATAAAACGAGTGGGAACGGGCTATTAACCGTGTCGCTCTTTTTAACTCGTCTCTGTGCAAGAGTCTAAATGGAAAGGAGATAGACAGCAAATGTTTTCTGTTTGTTTATCTTATTTCGAAAAGCAGGATTAGCCGGCAGGCAATGCCACAATTCCGTTGATACTTGACGGATGCGTGAAATTACCTCAAAAAGAGTGACCCGGTAAAGCTTTACGGCAGAACTGAACGGTAAGCGCCTCAGTTGTTTCACGCGAACGTATAATCTCGGTCATCTGCACATCAAATTTACTTAACCGATTGAAAACCAATCGTAGTTTAAATTAATGAGGTTATTTCTGATTTTATTGTGTATTTGCTGTGTTGATCAATGCTGAGTGAAGAGGTTGCAACCTGTCGGGATTTAGTCAAGGCATTACATGACGGCAATGGGCCAGCGCCTCTAACGTGGTTAAACCTAGTCAAAGTAATTAGATTTTGAAGGTGTGGAGGCAAAACATAATTACAAAAGTGGACGAAATACAATGACTTAGTAGTATTCCAATCTTTAAGAGAATTAGGAGCCTATGATTCAAAGGCAATTTCGCTAACCATCATTTATAACTAGGCGAAGTGTCTATGCATGTTTTCCGTTGCTTGGAGAATGAATTCCGGTTCCGAACATTACACTGTGAACTATTCACGGTGTGATATTATCCCGCAAGCAAAACGACTAGTAACCACATTGACAGTAACTGAGATAAGACAAAACACCGGGTACGTGCTGTGCAGACTTGAAGAGCAGATCAAAAACGGACAAACCTAGACGAGTTAAAACCAGCCTCTGATTTCCAAAAAAAACAACTTTTGTGGAAATTGGTTCTTGTTTCTCTCTCCCACTGCGAACATTTAGACGAAAGCTATCAATTCGTTATCTTTTTAATTGCATTGCGCTTGTTTCCACATTCACTTGGATCGCATTTCAATTCTACTAACAATCGAATATATTTTTTCTGAATTAGTCTTCTAACACTACCAAACAGTGCGGATATACTGTGACTTCCGCCTTCACAGATGAGCCTTCACTTTGGGCATCCTTCACTCACACATGTCGGCAATACTCATGAAATGGTAGAGAGGCGCTTTTACACAACTCACTCGTCCCGTTGTGCCTTACGGGTTCTCCCTCGAGGCCAACCAGCAGCCGCACAGCGGCGCATGATATAGGTCGAGTTTTGTTACCGATAAAGACAAGAGGGACTGGAATGGCCATTTCGGGCCTATTAGCCATCGTCGGCCAGTCATGCCCAACCCCGAAGTGTGGAACACCTGTGGCTCGACGCCGCGGTCTGTTAGTTAGAAGTCCAACGCTTCAGATTATTTAGTCACGGGCTCATTGGCCTGTCGGTTGCCATCGGGAATGTGCAATGGTAGAGGGGCGCTCACAGATCGTGGAGCGTAACACAACTATTTTTTTCAACACTGGAGATTTGACTAAACCCCGCAACACGTACGCATGTTAACTGGCAGCTTAAAAACGTAAAAGTTCATGAGATTCTCGCGGAGAGGTATGGGAGTACTAAAAACCAGTGACAAAAAGGACAGTGAAGATACTTTCATTCTGCGGAAATAGACAAAAAATCCATTCAACGAATAAAGATTAATCTCAACAGGTTAACAACGCACAGTATAAACGAAGACCATTCAGAATGCACGTCTACGACAGAGACAGATCTTGTCATTTACGGCCTTACATATTAGCTTCACCGCCGATTTTGGGTTAGTGGGACAGAGTTTTGTGCTCGTCCAGAGAAGCAGATATGCCATATTGCATTAGACCCTGGAATTCTCAGTCACCAACTAGCTTTTTTGCTTATTACCATTTTCTTTTCTTCTGTTTTAAGCGTGTTCGCTTAACTCTTAATTTTCTAAATCTTCCCTAATATTTCGCGAAAGATGTGCGACTGGTTGTTTGACAGATACTTCCCTTAACCTTAAAGTCGGGATTTCAGACAAGTAGAATGAGGACCAATGTGATTAGTGGCAAATGCACAGGTAACAAAAGAATCCCGATAAGTAGAAGTCCTATACAAAATACATAGGGAGCAGTGGAGGGTTCCGGATAGCAACAGGTGATAGTACGAGCAAGGGAAAACGGAATATGGTTTCCTTTGCGGACAAGGGTCTCGCGAATGGCACGACGAATTCGAGCCTTGAGCTCATTTTTCTTTTTAGATATTTTGTAGAATACAAATGAGTATGCAGGAAGCATTGAGAATTAAAACGTTTCCCAAATTTATTTCCTCAAAAGTTGTATTAACGGATAAAACTGATGCAAACAGTCGGTTTCGAAAAAAGTCATCTCGAATGGGCTTCTGTATGCAGCCTAAACTTTGAATAGGCTAACATTATGGGTCAAAAAGGATAAACCCAACAGCCTATATACGACTTTTGAGTTCCCAACTCCAAAGTCTTTATTTCTTCTTCTTCGGCATTGGCTTATTTCTGGCCTTCGGATCCGGCTCTGGCTGAGGAATGGCAAACTTGGGCACGATTGGGTCCACATTCATCTCAAAAACGTCCTTCGGATCCGGTACGACACCCTGTTCTCGCTTCTCCAACAACCAGCGCGTTTTGCTATCTTTCGGTGCGAATTCACGGGGTGTGCACAGAGACCAGCACTCTTTGAAGACGTCGGCACCAGCCAGAAGAAGAAGCTGTGCGCACTTGTAGTGGTCCCCTCTCGCCGCCAAGTGAAGTGGGGTTACGCCACTGCGGTTCTCGATGTCGACAGTGGCTTTGTTGCAAACAAGCATCTTCATAATTTCGAAATGTCCCTTATCTGCTGCAATATGCAGGGGAGAGAGCCCGAAACCGTTAAGCCAATTAGGGTCCACTCTCTCCATGAGAATGCGTCGCAGTCGACTTAGCTTATTTTCGGCAGCCGCAGTGCACATCTCCTCCTCGAGAAAGTAATGGACACGCGGATAGTAAATGACTGGTTCCTCTTCATCATCCGCCATGCTGTCTCTCAGAATGCACTAGGAGCTTACCTATTCCTGATTTGTCTCAGAAAAGGCAGTATCGATCAGTCTAGTCATCACGGAGTAATTTAAACCGTCCTGTATTGACCAACCAACAAAAGTCCGGTTACATAATAGCCAGAAAATTAGGGCAAATGATGAAAAATGAAAATACCGTGTTGAAAATTCTTTCAAACAATCAGCAATTGATGTTGCTTTGAACTGTAGTTTTTCCAAGATGTATATACTCTTTCTTCAGTCACTTTTTGCGTCCTACAATCTGAACAAAGTGAAGTTGTTTCATACTTTTTTCTCTTAGCGGATGAATGGCCTGTAGAAGTTACCACGTTCTGTGATAACGGTGGATGAATGACAGTGGATGTTTGTGTATATTATCTGACGGTGACTTATGGCACACCACGACCAGATGCTTTTGAAACAAACATCACAGCAAGACTCTCATATGCGAGTGGAGATGGACTGAGCGCCCTGCACGGTAGAGGCAGTGAAGTAAGAAACCAGAAAGAAGTTTTATCAGTGTTGATATTTGTTTAGGGAATTTTGACAGAATACGGTGAGCTGTTCAGGAGTGCCTTTGTTTTTTGCTTGATACATACGTTTATCAATGCGAATTTTTAAGTTTTTTCATCGTCTTTCCGTGGCAACCTCTAACTTTTGACGCTTTACGCTATAGTGGATCGTCCTTCTTATCACGTAACAATTCTTCCTTATAGGAGATGACCTACCACGTCGAAGTGAGGCAAGCGTTTAGCAAAGAGGCATCTGCAACTGGCTGTAGAGGTACCGATTCAATGATAAGAGTTGTATCGTCCCCTCAGAGGCAGTGAATTGGTGCTTCCTAACTTCGCATTTACGGTTAAGTCTGCAAAATCCAGTGGGACGCGAGTGACAGGTAGTGACTGGGATCGTTAAATCTACCGAGCTTATCTGTAGGTCGCAAAAGGTTCGTGCTCTGTTCACAGATGATGATCGAGTAAAAATTATCAGACAGATAAAGAGGCGCCTGTGGCTTGTCAAAACACTGTATGCCCGCTAATTTGGATGATTAAATCCCAGTCGAGGGAAAGTTTTGGTTTCCTATGTTTGCAAAAATGCGTAGGAGATAAATAGCATTCGGAAGACCAACCTATGTTCTAAGTCGTTGCAACAGCGGTCCACAATGACATTTTGAAATAGACTACACGTGTAGGCTCCAGGATCGTCGAGACTCAAAAGAACGTGCGTATAAATACGCCCCAGAGTCTTCGTAACTCTAAAGTGAAACTCCACAACTAATAATTAAATTCATAACATAGAAAATCATAATTAGGCACATGAGCCTAGCAGTCGTCTGGTGGATTCTAGATGAATTACTTAGGAAATCCTGCTTAGGCAGTCAGCTTACTGTATCAGATTTGGTGGACTCCAGACGTTGCAGTAGGCTGGGTGGGAAACCTGACCCAAATGTGATTAAACTCAGTCTCCCGTTGGGGATTCGTAGCTCAGGCGACTAGAGCATTGGCTGTACTAAAGCCTCTCCTTAGTTTCGTGGGTTGGAATCTCACCGAGGCGCCGAGTTTTTCACAGTTGGTCAAAATATATTAAATATGAAATAAAAATAAATGAAAAAGCGAGTGTCAGTAAAGGAACGGGACGGGAATTTTAAGTAGTTAATTTGAATCTAGGTGATCCTGGATGATGAAATGAAAAGACTTCGGCTAAGTCTTTCCCGAAAAACAGGACGGACGTGAACAAAAGTGAGCTAGGAGATGATGTCTACGTTTTTCGACAGTATGCAGGAAAATATGGGAATGAACAGTGAAGTCACTGCTTCTTCTACGTGGCCAATAGACACTCTGAAGTAACGAATTCCTTATAACACAGGCCAACTGTGCTCTCAGCGTTGTAACCCACATGGAACAACTCTGGAAGTCGCCAATTACGTACCCGAAATACTGCCCCCTTTTGGGTATTTATTTAGATAGTGTTTTGTCTGAGATGTCAGGCTGTTAATTTGCACTTCTTTCAAAAAGAATGAAAATTTTAACAAGGCAAAATCATTGAAATATTTAAAGTGCGGTAATAATAATAAAAACGGTTTGACCGACTCTTTAAATGATAAAAAGTAACTAATAATTAAAGTCGTAAAATAAAAAATTATCATTTTAAGTAACCAGGTGATATATTATGTAAGAAATTTGAAATGTATGAGAAATTCCATGGGTCTTAAGCCAGAGAGTCGTGCACAGATTCCTCGGAGCAGGCACCAAAAACAGGGTAGAACAAATTCGAGCATATAGTTGGTGAGGTAAACGAGGAAGTCACGACCTTTGTCAATTGCAATACATATAATCGTCGGCCACGAGATAGATTAATGGAAAGAACGGTAACTTAAATAAAAGATTATCACTCTTGCCCACTTCGGGGGCGAAAATCTTCCCTTATGTGTCTTAACTATCATTGCCAATGAGATTCCCTAAAGGGGATATGGGGCAAAGGGATCAAATGCTTGGCAGTCTACTTCCAACCAAACTAAGAGACTCTAACGTCTTCTGACAACTCCGGAGTCCACGAAGACATCGGAGAATGCTGCAAGTGTTCTAATACCGGCAAACGACATTTAATTTACTAGCCAGTCTGAATTTAAAATTCTTTAATGCCAATCGTAAAGCCTGCGACGTCTGCAAGTACTTGTAGCTCTTCAGTTTTAATGTCTTCCACCTGACTCTGCAATATTCTACGGGCCATTGGGGCTGTAGAAATCGTCCCTGCAACTTCTGATTTCAGGAGAGCGTCTACTTTGGCTGGTTTTCTCACGTGAGAGCTGTAAATATGGTGCCACTTTGTGGCATTTTTCTTACTTATGCATTTTCTTCATTTGCTGAGAACGCCTGCTAGACGCTTTTGTAGTTTCCGTCTCTCTCTCTGCTTTTTAAAACGCAACTTTTATCTCATAGGTCTCAGCTAAAGGTTAACATTTGTGTTTTCGAGTCAAACAACCGCGGCTCTTTTGCTTCAGTCAAAAATTCGCCATAGAAAGACCACGTAGACTGCACTAACTGCCCTCGTCCGTGACGCTCTTCAGGAACTGAAGGAACGCTTTTCCCAAAGCACTGGAAAAAACTAAATAAATTTCCTCTTGTTTACTTAGCAGTCACACAGTCCAGAAAGTGTGGGTCGTTGGATATAGGGAGTTGAGTTTCTGCAACACCGGGTATTAGGTTTTGTTATATCGATTGGTTATTTCTAACTGGCCCTTCGCTTACCGACAACGCCTGCATCAAATACTAAGCCATATTCTAAGGACTTTCGTGAGTTGAATAAAGCGCGAAACTGGACTTCGTTTATCATGTCAAGAAGCAAGGAATATCAGTCTAAAGCCACAAGTAAAAGCTTCTATTCTTGTTTAGGTAAAAAATTTTAATTTATTTTTCATAGGCGGTTTGACAATTACTTTTAAAATCTGTTTTGCTAACCAAACCCATTTAAAATGGTCGTTTTCTCGTTGCAATTTATTGATTTTGCAAAACTGTCTCGGTCGATAAAGAAGCAGGCACCTCATCGGTTTCAAGAGAAAGACCGAAGTTGTCAAATGCGAAGTTGACTGCGCCTGGCATGTTAGCGAACGTGAAGGATTTATTTTCCTGTTGTAACCTGCGAAACCGGCTTCTGAAAGAAAGAGTAAAAGACGCACTTTACGTAATTAAAAGAGGATTGGAATGCGACATTCACTCTTCAAGCAGATTTCATCATTAGTATGTGTTTGTGTAATCACGTAGTGCGAATACACAAAAGTATGCTTTAGATACGCGACAGGGCAAGTTTGAAATGCTTAATGTAGTTTAGTCGAATAAGCCAGGCGGGCTATCAATGCAAGAAGTTATCTATGCATAAGGTTTAGCAGTCTGCTGGTAAAATAGCGCATTTCTCGAGAATAAAGAAAGCAAAACTGGAAAGGGCAAAATATTGATCCTCCTACTAGAATACCCTAAATAATTATTCATAAACGGTTTTATTAGCAGTATGCATGTTTTATATTCCATACAGTACTAAGCCCCATACCTGAATGGTAATCTTGTTGGTTAGTCATGGCATTTCCGGTGGGAATGATGGGACTGTGATGCACACACGATTGATGCACGTGTAGTTAGGTTTAGAGCAGATTATTTAACTAGCAAAATAGTTTTATGTTGCCTTATTGTCGGACTAAATAGTAAACACGCTCTATATATGTGTTTGGGAATTTTAGATTGAGATTGATGTGCCTCTCGACGTCTTACTTAAAGTTTTCCTTATAATTGGAAAACGTCGGTCACCGCGTGAAACTAATACCAACTACTATTCATGGAATTTATAGACTTTTTACGCATAGATACAAAGCGCATCAGCCAAATTAAAAACTTTCTTTAAATTAAAAACTACAGTAATGTTATCGTTGAGAGGGGAAAATGTTGCGACTCTTAAATTTGTGCAATGGTAGCGTCCTGATGGAAGTGGGAAAATAGGCAGTGGCAAGGGAGTTGCACAGAACCATCTAGCAAAGTCGTTGCCACAGCGTTTTTGCCGATCGACTTCGATGAATTGCTGCAGGGACCGTTGGTTGGCTCATTCATTCATCTCGCTTGTATAAAACATGATAATGAGTAAATAGTTGATGCCAGTTGAAAAACTGTCCTAAGACACCTAGAAATTGGTCAACGATGGAAGATTAATGATCGCCACCTGGCGCAGAAAACGGACTTGTCTACAGTTGTAATGGGATGGCATATTAAAAGTCCAGGGGTGTCCCTTCCTTTAAAAAAGAGTATAGCACATTAGCAAACGGGAATATGGACACCCTGCGCGCAGGTGTTAGCGTGTCCCAACTTTAACCTGTAACCTCAACGCCAACCCTGTTATTCTCGTATACTACCCAGGAGGCATCCTGAAAAGGGCAAAGTGGCTGTAGGATACGGATGTTGAGGAAGACCTCAGTCACTGATTGTCCAGTGCTAATGGAA